TAGGGGATGGCGGGGGTGGGACGGGGACATGGGCAACAACCGCCTTCTCGGCCGGCGTGCGCCTGCTCCGCGCTGAGGGGAGGTTGTGCTGCTTTCCCGAAGCGCGCCCGAGCACCGGGAGCGAGCCGGGGGGTGCGGGCACCCTCACCCTCCTCCTCCTCCTCCTCCGTGATGTCGCACCCCGGCGTGTGACGCGCTGTCCCCACACAATGGGCCGTTTCAGGAGGCTGCCGCCCAGCCCCGGCCTGCTGCGCTCGGGGGCCGCTCTGGGGGTAGTCCCTGCAGATCTTGGCCCCGTTTATTGAATGAAAGATGGACATTGTGGTGGTTTTTTTGTTTGTTTGGTTTTTTTTTTTAAAGTATGATGGACCAGCTTCTGGAATACAAGCTATGCGATTTTTTTTTATTGCTTTTTTTAAAGCAGGATGACAAGTATCTGCGTTCACTAATCTATGTGATAGGAACTGGGCCCCATTGCACTGAGTCTTCCAATTTTAACTGGTATCTCGGCGATACTAGGTTTTCAGAAGACTTTTAAAAATAAAGCTGTTGCTAAAATGCAACTCCAGAACGTCTGAACACCATAAAAAATTGATACAGCTTTTTCTTTGTACAGACTACTTTTCTTGTTACCCAAACCAAATTATAGAGATTGATGTCTGCCTAGCCTTATTTCACTCCTCGGTCTTCATTTTTTCGTCATGGAAGCCGTTTTAATTATAAATAGCACTCCTTTGCCTTTTAGACTTGGGCTCCAAGAAGTTTGAACTTGGGACTTCAAGGAAGCATCACAGTAGCTGCTACTGATAGATACTAATTGTGGTCAGGCCGATCAGCGAACAGGGTGCTTTTCCATGCGAGTGGAAGCATTGAAGGGAGAGCAGGTTCAGAGCAGAGGAACTAATTCTATAGAGTGAACACTTCAACCCCAATTCTGTTACTCTGTATAGTCCTATAATGGACCAGCAGCCCACTGCCCTTACGAGCCCAGCGTGCAAATACAAACCAAAAGCAGTCAGTAGGCAGGGCGTGGGTTCGGGAGGCTTTCCAAAGCCCGGACTAACTCCTGAAAGGATGAGACACCGAAGGGCTATGTAGCTTGTGAACGCCAGGGATACGTGCCACATGAAGCAGCAGCTTGCCAAGTGCACGCGTAGCATGAGAAACGGCAGAGGAGGATGTGGGATCTAAGATTTCAGCACCCTGATAAACAACCAGCCTGGTCTGCAGCCTCCTTACGGAGGGGTTACCGTTTTAAAACATTTCAGACGTACTGCCAGTGCACCTGAGCAACAGGAAGCAGTTAGACCATAGCTATTCATGGAGCTTGTTAAATGTACAGTAACTGAAACGGGGTTTTAGTCAAGTACCTTTCACAAAGCTGTCCAGTAAGTCACTAACGAGCACATTTGCTCAGCGATTGCTCATTAAATATAATGAACATCAGGTATACTATATCAGATTGCCCTGATTAATGAGGTTTTACTAAAATATGTTTCTGGTAACTTTTGTTATTACTGGATCATGCGTACATTCATTGGGAAAAAAAAAAAGACTGAAGATTCAATTTTGGAATGCTGGACTTACAGCATAGAATATTTTCACTGAATTTCTACTGGGAAATATTTTGTTCAATTCTGTTTTCTCTTATTATAACAAACCAAGCCAACTTTGACTTTCTTTAATATCTGGTGCTACATTCAGATGTGGATCTCGAAAGTAATCCGAGTCCCTTTGGTAAGTGAACAAGTCGTTCAGTATATCCAGCACTGCACCAAACGACACTATGCATTTCCTTGTCATGCATATAAAAGCTTTAATTTGAAAGGGAGATATTTTTCATGCTTGGCTCTCACCTTGCAACTATCTCTGTTCAGGCAGAATTCTGTGTCCAGGAAGAACTTGCTCAAAGTATGCTCTTTCTGGAGTCAGCTGCAGGACAAACACCTATTCAGCCTCTCTCTGTACTCTGCTGTTCTTTCCCACGCAAGAAACAAAAGCAATGCAGCCAGAAATACGTATCACTGACAGGGGCAAATTAAATTGCATTTTCTTTTTATTGAAGCACACTGTGTTTTGTTCAGAGTATCTATAGAATCATACAAATATGCTTTTTATAGCTTAAGCATTTTCATATTCCTTAACAGTTTTTATAGTCCTAGCACCTAACACTATTACGATTGCAATACAGAACATCTTTGATAATAGGTGGCTACTTTCATTACAGATTGCAAAAGTAAGGGGTAGCTTAAAGTCCCATCTAGTCGTGCCAGTGAACCTCTCAAGCTGAGGCTGTCATTTTTACTCCTGCAACACACAAATTTTATTAGTAGTACTTTCAGTTACAAAGTTACGCCTTATCAGAAAGGCAAAGCTACCTCTCCCTGTTGATGTAAACTGTTTTCATTATTGAGTAGGGTTGGGTGAAGCTGTAATATGAGAGGATTCAGGGTGTTCTAAATTTGTGTTAATGAAGTTTGGGATTCTCTATTTTTTTTAAATATAACCTGCATTTTTGGAACTATATTTGTGCAAAATATATTTCCCATACCATTATTTCTTATGAGTTAGGAGAAGAATCTGCGTATCTTTTTAGCTGCCAAAAGCGCTCTCAAGTCTTTGCTGGTGGTGGGGTTTTGTGTGCAGTTTTCTAGTCTAAAGTGGATTCTCATTCGTCACATTTTACTTTTCTTTGCAAATACAGTACAGTAGGGTCTTAAAGCTTGTCCCTTGACATTCCTTGGAATGAAACCTTGGAAAGAACAAAGAACTTGACTTCAGCAAGTAAAGGGCAGCGCCTTCTTGGAAGGACATAGAGACAATTAGGAGATTAAACTAACAGGATCAGAAGATCAGCCCTAAGCACGCAGAAAGGAGAATGAACATGCAAGGGCTACCTGCTATCAACACATGCCGTGTCTGGAAGAATTAATTCATTTTAAGAACTCTACTCAGATGAATGAAGTGGTGCGAAAGGCAGCCTTTTAGTGATTACTTTGAATATCTAAAATGACTGAGGTCTGGTGTACAGCTGTGCTCTTCATGCAGCCTGCTAGGTATCAGAACTGCTTTTGCGCCTACCGGCTTAGTAAAGGACCAGGACAATATTGTGTTAAATAATACAGGAGACCTGCTGAGTAACAGATCCCAGAATACTTGAAGCAAGTTTTGAGATGACCCAGCATTCAGAGTATTCTTACCCTGTTTAAAAGCACTGTCATACGTTTTACAGAATGTCAGGATATTCTGAGCTACTTTCAGTAAAACATTCAAAATTAATGTTTTCATAGGTCAAATTATCTTAAGTACCCTAAACGTTCCCCTGCAGAGACAATCTAACGCATGAGCTCTCATGCAAAGACAGTGCATGTGTTAGTTCAGACCTCTGAATGCAGTCACATTCAGAGAAAAACTTGAAGAATCAGTCCTGAACATGTTATCTCTAAAAACAAGACTATTTCTAAATCTCAAGAAAGAAAATATGCTTTTCAATACTTTAACAGCAAAGCGAGCAAAATATGCTGTCATCTAGAGCATAAACACTTGAATGATTCAGAATAATTTCAGTCCTCAAAATAATTTCATCCATAAAACGAGCACGCTCACTTGCCATCTATTAAGAGAATGCAGATTTTTGTTCCAGAGCTAGTCAGACCTTGAATTTGCGGGTCCAATTTGAAAAATTAAGCTTTTAATTCAAAATTCTCTCAAATTAGGGGTTAATTATTATGATTTGGACATGAAATACTGATTCAGGTGCTAACCTTGAAACTCAGATTCTGAATTCAGTTTTGACCACAAAATAAATCTTTACCCTAAATTTATGTTATCCTGGGCATGTGCATTTTATAAATTAAAACTTATTGACTGAATGGAGATGTTTGACAAGTGACATGCTAGCTTTGTATCATTACCTATCTGATCAGGTTTGGGGAGGGGATATGATGCCTGACTGCCTAAGTCATCTGCAATAAATCTGTAATCCTTAAATTCAGAAACACCACAGAATGTTCCTGTTAATACTCACCTTACTGCAAAATTTGCTACAAATCTGTGCTGGTTAAAACTATGGACTGGTTACACAATTTAAAGTTACCCTATTAAGAAAAGAATTACATTAAATCAATGTCAAAGAAGGTTTACACAGTTCCCACAGGAATGCCATTTATAGTCTAATTTCCTCATTCTAAGTGAAATTAATTTTGCAGTCCCAATTTAATTTTAGGTTTACAGGTCAGTTTTGGCACCTACATCTAATGTAAGTAATACATTACACGAACTTCTGATGAATTAAAGTTGCTAGACTTAAACCGGTAATGATCAACAGCTCTCCTCATAGAACACACAGGCACAATCAGAAAAGTGTAGGATCAGAGACTCCTATGAAAACATCTATTAAATTTCTCTCATGATATATAGTAAAAAAAGGAGAGGGAGGGGGGAAACCCCAAACCCTCCTGTAGAGTATTACAGCTGCAGGACAGAACAGACTACCAAAAGTGCAATTCAGGAAGGGTGGGCCCTTGCACATTTTGTTCAAAATACTGTGTTCTCCTTTGATCTCAAAAAGGAAAAAAAAAAAACCCCAAACCCAGACCAAAGAGTCTGAAGATAGGGCCTTGGATTCCTGTTTATGCTGGACCATTCTTATCAATAGCATTTATCACTCTTCCATGAAGTGCTTCTGAGTTTCAAGCCGACCGACCTACAAACCTGGCCCTTCTTGCCTGCTCCAGGGGGGCACAATGGACACAAGGAGCTATGTTGCACCTAACGCTCTCCTGGGCGCTAGCCTCATAAAACACGAGGCGTAGGATGGATACCCATATGTGTAGATGGTAGATAAGAACATGAAGCAGAAAGCCGTTATTGGCTGTATCACCATAAAATACGGCACAGCCTTCCATTCCGTGCAAGAGGAGTTTTGTAGCTGCATTTTCCTCTTCATAAAAATGTCTCTTTTCCATGCCAGTGTATTCAACAGCCACAGGGGACAACCAATCAATTATATATGGTAAGTGGTGAAAACAACAGTACAATAAATTGTGAATAAAAGGACAACAAAATAAAAACCAGTTTTGCTGTATTATCTTTCAGTTGAGCAACAGGAGCTAACCAGTATTTTAGACATAACTGAGATATTGACATTACTGGTATCTATGTAATAAATTTCTTCTTACCTTTGATATCGTGTTTTTAACTATGCCATATTTAAAAAAGAAAAACAAAACACATTAGAACACCAAGGTTAAGCCTGTCTGCGAAAGCCCTATTATTCTAAAAGCTAATTATTTATACACAAAATCATTTTCAAAGAAGAAAAAACAAAACTTGTGACTGTGTTTGCATTTTGCTGTGGCAAGTGACCAGTTAACTGTTCCTCCAGATCTCTAGCTGTCTTTTTTGCTACACACAGACCAGTTGTCAGGTTGCATGCCTAGTGTATCAACCATGATTACCTCTGCAGACCTGAGACAGACCCAGACCTCACAGTTTGTCTCCCATGAAGTAAATGACTCTTAAGTACTGACCACAAAACACTTACTTAGCACCAAACCATTTAAGACAAAATAGATCTTAAAACCAATAAACCAGTCAACACACTTGCCTTTCCTTCCGTATGACTTACCAGTCCACTGCTGCAGAGGAAGGCCCAGCTTCTTCCAGCCTCTTCTGCAAAGTCTGCCTCTGTGTTAAATTATTTCTTCTATCAGTCTCTGCCAACTTTATCCTCCTCTGATTTTTAGTTCTCAGCCTGACAAATCAGCTGCATCCCTCGGAACTGGAGCTATCGCCTTGTAATTACTACCTCATGGGTTTAGTCACATATAGCTGACACAGGGGAACCAGTGAATTGCCTTTTATTCTTTCATCAGCTAGCTCCCCATTAAGTTAGATTGATACATCTATACAGGAAAGTAATATAAAGTAGTATAACCCATTGTATAGTAACTTCCTCTCACCAGCCTGGCCACATACAGTGTTCATAAAATTATTACAACTTGGTATTCTTCAGCTATTACTCAACACTGGCAAAAATCAATTCCTCCTTCACAAAAACAGATTTTACTAAGCAATAAAAGGGCCAAGTCCTGTCAGGTGATTCGGTTCGGGAAGGAAGACTTCAGCCGCCAGTTTCTGTTGTACTAAGCACAATGCAAAATAAAGATCAATGTGACAGAAGAAGAGCTCATACAAGTAAGCCAATCTTCTGTTCACTACTAAGCCACATTAAAAAGTCTTTTAATCCCTTGTATCTGACAATGCCTGCTGTTTTGAGCCCCAGAGAGTTATTTCATTCAGACTCTGTCAGTGAAATCTTTTTAAAGCCATGCATGGCCACCCGATTTTCATGTCTTCTAAGTCTGTACACCACTTCACAGAGTTGCCCAAGTCCTGCAGGTCACCTTTGGACTCAGCAGCCATGAAATTAATGGGTATGCATGCATTCTCCTTGAAAGAGATGTGCGGAAGACTTACGAAGGAAATACCTACCCCAAACATCGCCAAGTTTCCTCCTAAACTAGACAGATACATCTACCGGACCTTTAAAGCATGTAACTAGCTGATCCTTAATTCTACTCAAATTACTGGACCCAAGAGAATCTGTCTTCAAGGCTCCCTTTTACAGTGTTGATGGTCAAATAATAACGACGGTAAACTCAGACTATGAGTGATCTTGAACCTAGCCAGGCCAGGTGTACCTATGAAGAAGCAACAACGCAGTGTGTAGGAAGGATCTAACAGGCTGCTGCTCCAAGAAATGCCTCTTCCATCGTGAAAACTGCCAATTAAGGTGGTATTTTTCTAAAATTTTTTCCCCAAACAGCAAACCAAAAGCGATGGTCAGGTCACTCTATCACACATTTCATACGTAGAAGAGCTGAACACCCAGGGCTACTACTGGAGGAAAAGGACATTTGGCAATGACTGCCTTGGAGACAGACTGTCCACAAGCAACACCTACTACGTGACAACAATTACTGGTTTTGCCCCTTGCTAATACTGAGGCTGATAAGCACTGGATCAGTCTTGTAGAGGGATTAAAGGAGTTCAAAGAATATTTGCTTTATATTATAGCAGTTACTAAGAGCTTTGGTGGCCCTGGCAGCTGCTAGGAACTGCCATGGCTTACGGCCTAGCTGTGTTTCTGGTGTGGGCAGCTGGGAGGAAGGGTGGTGGAGGAGCCACAGCGGGAACTGTCCAAACCAAGGAACTCTCCGCATTGTCCTTGGGGAATGGCACAAATCATACGGAGCATCATGGCAGCAGCATCTAAAAATGGAAAAGATTATTAGGTCATTTAACGCCTCTTCTTAGCCAGGGGTGAGACCTACGTTTTCTGAAATGAAATCTTTCAAACCCTAATTAAATGTAGTCAATCCTCATTAAAAATAAACTAGGTTAATATTTATGAGAGGCATTCCTCATGCTACATAATATCTCACTGCCTCATTTAAGGACATACCTGGCAATATTTTGAAATACAATTCAGCTGGATTCTGCTGCCCATTGATTTTTATTTTTCAGAGTATTCTGAAATCATTCCTATTTATAATTTTGAAAATGAGTTGCTGGCAGTAAGCCAAAATTGCTTAGGCCCAAATCATGACCCTCCTTTAACCTGCTATAATCTGACCCAAGTAAACAGAATTTCCCTCACACTGTTTCTGTGAGGAGGGATGGGTGGAGAACTGCCATTATTTTCGACACACCCAAAGACGGGTGTCTGCCCCTTTCCTCAAGCCTGGCTCTACAGCAAGGGTTTCCCCCTGCCCCCCGAGAGCGTACAGCCTGTTAACCCTCCACTTTCACATCTGTCTTCATCCTGCTCACGGCCCTCCCTACAAGTCAGTAGAGAAGGCCAAGGGTTCCTCTAGCTGATGGATGAGAATATGTACAAATAAACTTGGCTGAAGCTCTTTAAGTATGCAATCCATTAGATGGGCTCTGTTTGTGCCAGGACATTGTTGGATCTGGCCTGCAAGTGAGCAGTCTGGTCCAATTTTCATATATATCAAGGTCAGTTATAGCCCTGCAGTAGTATGAATGCAGCAGGACGTTAACTGTGAATTGGGACAAATGTATTTCTGGAGCCTGCTAAATGCTTTGTAAATGCCTAGAATTAGGAGGCTAACTTAAAAAGGAAAGTCTGATTGAAAGGAGCAAAAGAATGTTATTATTTAGCTGCAGCTTAAGCTGCAGCAAAATATATAACAAATGTAAGATGTGGTTTCAACATGGACTCTGATTATTTAGGATTACGTTGATGGACATACTGCATAACAGCAGTGAATCTGATGTGTGGGACATCAATATTCTCATCACCACCATTTACCAATCTATTCCCTTTGGAAGCACCCCAGGCAGCATTAAACCCCTCTTCGTATAACTTGTTCCAGCCCAGTTACTAATTTTGATTTTATTATTATTTAATGGCATTTACTTGAACGCCTCAGATTTACCGAGCGTAACATCTTGCTTTGGACAAGAATCATTTAATAAAGTTCTTGGTGTGCTGCAGAATGGAAACAGGCCAGAGGAGAAAGTCGTCTTTGCAGAGGCTTTCCGCACACAAAGTTAGTGTCAGTAGGTTTACATTCTCCCTGCTAAATTCTAACAAATGGTAACCAGTCTTCAAAAGCAATGACAGAAACATGAGCGGAACATAACAAATTCATGTTCATTGGTCTAAAAAAATGGGTCAAGACCAGTGCTGAGGGAAATATTTCTATGTAAATAAAGAGGGAGTAATACCCCATACCATATTTACAGCACCAATTATGGCTAGCAAGAGGTTGGGCTTTTTAACTACAGCAAAGCGAAGCCAGCCTAAGCCCCCCGCTGATGGAAGGGAAGTCTTTACCACAGTGAAACCGCCTTTGATCCGTCACCGTACCGGCTGAAGCGGGGGACGGACTCATCCCCCTGAAGCCCGACAGTCCGCAAAGGGCGCTGGGTGCCGCAGCCCCGGCGCTGCCGGCCCGCTGCCCCGCGCCTCCCTCCGGAACCCCGCCGAGCGCTGACAGGGACGGCAGTTTTGACCGGAACGTCAGACTTACCTGGCGGGCTCAGCAGGGCCTGGGGGGGCCGAGTGCGGCACCCGGGACGGGCCGCCTGGGCCCGGGCGGGCTGGGGCGGAGGGCGGCTTCTCGGTTCCCCCC